GAACACTGCTGTTTGCTACGGCTGGCTTGGGCTATACCTGATGCCAAGCACTTAAAATTTCATTTAAATATGGCAGTGGCATTCACATAAGAGCCTCGTTAAATGTGCAATCGTGCGTTGTGGCAGTTGCAATAATCGGCTGAAATAATAACTTAAAGTGCATCATTTTATAAAGTTTTCCTTGCTGTTGTTGCTTTTATTCGTGAAGGTGAAAAGTACGTGCGAAAATGTTGCAGTTTGCATTTGAAACGCAATTTAGAAAATTGCATTGAAACAACTTTCTCGAGAATGTAGTTTTGATCTTACAATCTTTTGAATGTTATGAGGGATATGGAACACGTATTGCAATTTCATAAATAAAAGTGTCTTACTAATGCTGAATATCAACTATCAAATCCAGATCTACTGCCCCATCGGAACTTTACTTAGATCCTTGCGGTTGGTTGCCGAAGGAAAATCGGAAATTTAAGAACATAGTTTATAACTTATAATTAAGAAAACATTGTTAACATTCATTCTGGTACGCTAATTAAGTAATTAATGATGTAATCTATTTCAATATTTCAGCAATTAAAGTTACAATTAATCTTCATCATATACGGAGAATGAATTGAAGCATTTCTTATTGAAGATAATTTGTATAATATTTAAATTAGTGCGAATCCTCATTCTGAACTTTAACTCTAGTTCTTCTAGAATAAAATAAAACGCTCCAAAATATATGTTCCTCATCCCCAAACATCTTTTGTTTTTACTGTTTCAGATTTTACTTAAGCTCATAGCCCGTGTAATCCATCCACTTTTCCAGAGTATATAAAATGCAACACACAGAATAATGAAACAGAGTACGCATACAGAATTTCAAACTTATGACTGTTAGAGCCACATTTTGACCAACCATATCGCTCTGGGGTTAATTTTGCGGTGTTTTGCATTCCAATTTAATTGATTTTGTGCAAATAAGTAACAGAATGCAGTTAGCATATCATTAGCATTTACATTTCTGCATTCCTATTTGCCCATCAAAAATAACATAAATCTATAATCGGTACTTTGTTGTTATTGCTATGGCTACGCATTTAGCGGTAATTGTTTGCGCCTTTTGTTCGTCCTGCCAAATGAATTGCTCCGCTTGTGTTGATTTGTGTTGTGTTTGGAAATGTACTAATTTATAAACGAAATTCAATAACCATTTTCTGAAATCTGTGGCGCATGAGTTGTGATTAAATGATGGGATTTTTAGAGATTTGACTGGCAAATGCATAAACAGATTTTAATCTGTAAATGGACAGAGTAGCGAAATGTATTTTAAATGAAATATCTCAAAATAAATATGCAGGGACGTGTATACCATTTGGGAGTCATTTCTTCCATTAACTAAACTCATAGCTAAATTGAAAATAATATAAACAAATTTGCTATAATTAGTAATGGAAAACCTTTAGATGATATTTTCCCCACATGATAACATATAAGCTGACTTGCTTTTTTAATATAAAATTAGTGCACACATATTACTAGAAAAACAGTTACTCCTCGAATAATATTTTATATGTCGACAAAAGCTGGAATTCCATACGCAAATATATATTAAATTCAGTTAATTTTAATTTCAGTTGTTTCTTTCCTAAGCAAACTGTTTCAATCTTCTTTGTAACCTTGTAACATTAAAATTATTATACAATTTCTGTTATAAACTTTCCACTTAACATACAAATAACAAATTAAAAAAATAAAAAAATAACAAATAAAGAAATTGTGTTCAAGTCAATCAAAAGTTTGTAATTTTAATTTGCATTAAAATTAATACAAAAATGTATTTGGCTTTTTATGGCCGCCACATGCTGGAAATTTGCCATGTCCTTGATTTATATAATATATGTTCTGGTTTTCTCTCGTTGTTCAAAAGTAAACTCGATTCGAGGCAGGAAGCGTCACTTGCACTCAAACTTTTTGCGCACAGAATAAAATAAAGTACAAACACATTTGCATAACTGAAAATATAGACACGCAGAAAGGGCGTTAGCATTAAATGAAAAAGCACGAAATATACATATTAATCATACGCCATGTGTGGCAACAATTAGATTGAAGTCATGCTCCGCATTCGTTAGTACATGTGTAGAAAAGTTATCCCAAAAGTTATGCTCCCAATTGCTTCGATATATTTGCATGCAACAAAAATCACATTTGAAAATTCAACATTGTACATTTTTAAATTATAATTCTAGTTTGAAATTCATGGTAAAATTATTCCCTTGAAAAATAGATTATATTTTCAAAAACCATAGCATTTTAGGCATGGTTTGGATTCTAGATTCGAAGTTAAAACTCATTTCTGGCTTAAAATTAATGTTAATATTATGACAAAAAGTGGTTACATTAATTGGTCGAAACATTCCGTAGATATAGCTGTGTCAAATTAATTGTGGCTTCAAATGTATAAATATAACTGAATTTTGCAAGTTATTTATTTTTTTTTTTGTATTATCTGTCTCTTTTTTCACTTGAATTGAAAATCTGCCCACCAATTATAAAGAAAGAAACAACGAAGTACGAAGAATGCAATAAAAGTTTTCGGTGACTGTTTTGATCAGCGACCAAAGAAAATTGAATATATTGAAGAGATGTATCGCATCTGAATCAAAGAGAATTAAGTACAATTAAGAGCTAGCTAGCTGTATGAACGCAACTCTTTTCGACACCCTTAGAGATCGAGACTTGAAACTTGGAACATATATTGCGGCCGCGTTAGACGAAGTGTGGAAATGGGACTGCTATCAAAAAGGCCAGAAAATCGATAAAATCGATAATTACAATTCGATAAAGCCATATATCTCCTAAAATTTAAAGGCTGCGGTCTCCAAATTTGGTTGGTAGGTTGTGGGCGATGTCCTTTAAAGATCGACATATGCCCCGCCCTTAAAAATTGTAAATGGCTATATCTTCCTCAGTTTTTGAGTAAAATTTGGTAAGTATATTACTCGTAGCCGTCTCTAAAAACCGAAAAAAGTTTTATAGCCATGCCCACACCTGTGCCCATAATTGCCATAAATCGATAACCCCGCATATCTCCCACAATTTTAAAGATAGAGTGACCAAATTATGATAGTATTTTACAGGCAACTCCCCTAAGAGATCGATCAAATAATCTATGGCCACGTCCGCTCCACCTCTCTAGTCTAAATCGATATGACCATTGATCTCCCACAATTTAAAAGCTAGAGTAACCAAATTTGAAAATTATATTGCCAATAACACCCTTCAAAAATCCGAATCAAAAATTTTAGACCACGCCCACTCCCATCCCCGAAAACGGTAAAAACCTATTTCTCTCGCAATTTAGGAGCTACAGTTACCAAACTTGGAAGGTAGATTACTAAGAACGTCCTCAATCATTTTTGTTGGCCACTCCCATTCCCGCCTTCAAAATTCCAAAAAGGTTACTAGGAAACTCTCCAAACAAATTTTTTTCGGCCACTTCCATACCAGTCCCCAAAATTCTCAGATGCCTATATCTACCGCAATTTGAAATCCAAAGTTGGACTGTATTTCTTGGCTACAGCCACACTTTTATTCAATACCTGTTATCAGCTGGTATTACTTATTACTTCAGTTACTCACGACTGGAACGTTCTCTGTTGTTTTGTATGTGATTTGTGTAGTTCTCTCAAACATTGTGATTGCAATTGTCGTTGATTGGGTTTGTGTTTCCGGACTCAATAGTTTAAATACAAAAATGAGAGTCTATCGCTATCTCTTCATTGTATTAATATTCTTTGAGCTACAAGAGACAAGAGACAGAGACATATGTTTCGTCCTCTATTAGAATATTTAGAGTGTGTATGTAAAGATTGGACTTAATAATATGTTTTCCATTATTTAATTTACAGTTTGCAATGACCGTCATTCACAATAAGTCCTTTGCAGTCTTAATTTTAAACACATCTCCGATTTTGGAAATTGTGTGTGTGAAGACATTGATTCGCTTATTTAGCTTTCCATCACAAACTCACAAGACCGTGAGATATTTGACTTAACGACTTCTTCGTTTGGAGACTTTCAGCAGACCCTCTAATTAGCAAATAGGATTAAGCGAACGTCATCCGGCACAAATGCTGTTCTCTGGAGCATACTGTGGTACAAAGGTGTCAACTTGGATTCAACATTGAATCAAACAATTAAACGTACGCCCCCTGGTACGGATAGCTACGCTAACATGGAACAGTTAGCATCTATCATGATCAAATTATAAGATCAACAACTTAAGAGCGTCAAAAAGAAAACAAACCACGCAGCCGGTGAGAGCTCCGAATGATATTGGTCGAAAATCAGCTGATAACCGAAGCAAATACCATAAACACTGCTCAAGCCGGTTATATTTGTAGCTTAAGCTGTATTTAGACAAAGGCGTAGCCAGGCAGGGATCGAATTTCGTAGTTGGAAGCCGATTCGTCATTTTTGAATGTAAACAAAGTTGGATCTATGTAAAGATCTATTTAAGATGTGGACGGGCAGCTGCTCCTCTCTGCCCATATGTGACTACGCCCATGTGTCTATATCTGTATTTGTCGTTGTTTTTGTCTTTTCCCATGGTATATATATCTTTTAAAATCTTCACATCTTTATCTGTGTTCGTTGCTTTAATTGTATCTACAGAGTACACACTTTTGTGTGTTTAAATCTGTATCTGTATCTATAATTTTCTTTGCACTCGTTTTAGTTGTATTTTAATCTATCTATTTATAGTGTATACATATATACATAACACTATCTCCATCTCTAAGTCTGGCTGCATTTGTTGGACACAATTGAGCTGTGAACGACGCTCTGATCTGTAAGGCAAACAAAACGGACTACAAGTTGTTTTTGGGGGGGCTTTTGTTGAACCGAGATCTGTCATAATTTTTCTGCGAGCTGCTTTCTGAGATTGTAAGCACTGATCAGCGACATGCTCGCGGCTATCGGAATCATTATCAAACCGCGACTCGCTGGAAATAGACCGTACCTCGTTGTAGTCTAAGTCGTAGTTATGTATCCGCAACTGGAAGTGGACCCCGAGCTGACTGACCGGGCAACCAAGGTGCGTTTGCTGCCCATCACTACGGATGCGAAGGCTGCCTCCTGTCCGAACAGCAACGACAACGACAATGCCACCAAAACGGCGCCGCCGCCTAGCAAGTGGAAGCGAGCGCTGCTGCGTCATGTGCCTGTGTTTCAATGGCTGCCCGCCTACAACATGGAATATGGCATCGATGATCTTATAGCTGGCGTCACGCTGGGCCTCACAATCATACCCGAGAGTATTGCCTGCGCCCTGCTGGCTGGCCTGCCCGGTCACTATGGCCTCTGCTCGGCGATTATTGGACCACTCATCTATTTGATATTCGGATCCATTGACAAGGTCATCATTGGACCCACTAGTCTTGTGGCGCTGGTCAGTCTGCAGTTCACCGTTGGGCGACCCATTGAATTCGCAATTTTGCTCACATTTCTCAGTGGCATTGTGCAGATCATTATGGGCTCTATGCGCTTAGGTGAGTAACAGTAACCATTGATATACCCAGATTAAATGTTTTTTTTAGCAATTCATGTCTATACATACTCGTATATCTATAACTATTCTTATACCTTTTCGCAGTAAGTATTTTTATGTCCATATCTATATCAATATCTACATTTGTACCTATAGCTTTACCTATACCTATATCTCAATTCTTTGTCACTGTCAATTGACTTAAGCGCGATGTTTTATAATTGCTGTCATTCGAACGCGGATGCTCCACATAATCCGGCGTCTGATGTCATATTTGTATATCATATAGCCCCAACTAGATATATAAATACTATGCATAGTATGTGTGGGTAACTTGGCCTCTGTCTTTGTCTGCCTGGGTGTAAAATACGCGCATGTCCATTGTATACAGCATCTTCATTATCGTCAGTCACCCTGAACTTGGGTGTACAGTTTTGATTAGCAGTTCCAGTCATGATAAGTGGCATGCAAACAAATTGAGATGCAGTTGGAGTGTTACGAGCTGGCAATTGTTCATTGGGTTGCTGAATTAGCGGACGGTATCGATAACTCTGTTTTAGCGCAATAATATCCATTAAAAAAAATGATAAGTCGAAATTTGTGACTTGATTACGAATTGAAAGCAAAGTTAGACAAAGTTGCCAATGTTCATTGATTCCATTTCGAGAAAATAAACAAACCTGATCTCGTTCAATAAGTGTCAAGATTCCAATTAACACTCAATTGGCACCTATCATCCAAAACCAACAAATGCGCTAATTACTCATTTAACAAGCAAACGATTCACATTCACGAATCACGATTGTAATTTATGAAGAAATTTTAATAGATTTTTGGGCTGCGTAATATATATAGAAGTGTAAGAATTTTAATTCTGTATGTGTTTCACAGTTTCTGCAAAATGTGAAACATTAAAAAGTATTATTTGCCGATTAGTTATTGTAAATAAATAAACTAAACCCTGATTGCAGGATTCATCTTTGAGTTTATATCGATGCCGGTGATCAAAGCCTTCTCCTCGGCAACAGCGGTGCTGGTTATCGAGTCCCAGCTCAAAGTGCTGTTGGGCATCAAGTACTTAGTGCCGGGCCTCATCAACTCAGTCAGCACTCTCAGCTCTCGGATCAGTGAAGCCAACATGGCTGATCTGATAATGGGCAGTTGTGCCATCACATTTCTGCTGCTGCTGGAGGTGTGTACAGACTTTCTCAACTGCTTTATATGTATCTAATGTTTTATTTAAATGTCATCGCTCTACATTTTAGCTGCTGGAAAGAGTGGCACACGATGATAAACACGGCAAGGTTTTGCGCACCTGCTGCCGCTATTTGTCCACGTCGAGGAATACGCTCATTGTGCTCATCGCTGGCATTGTCTCCTACATTTGGCTTGGCTACGCAGAGACAGTGCCCTACGCCCTCAGCCATAACGCCCTATCCAGCTTACCAAATTTTACAATACCCAGTATGACTGTAGAATCTCCAGAACGTAGCTATAGCTTCTGGGAGATCTTAAATGAGCTCAAGGTGGGCATCATTGTTATTCCCATTGTGGGCATACTGACAAATATATCCATTGGAAAACTGAGTGAGTATTCAATTCAAATTATTAAGTTAATATACATTTATTACCTAAAATACCACCATTCATTTAAAAATGTTCATACGATGTTGTCAAAGCATTTAAAATAGCTTACAATAGTTAGGGCACATAGCAATCATCATGCTTAGCAAATTTCTAGAAAATATTGAGTATTTTGATAATATAGTAATAGTTAGGCGATTGTATTTAATAATTAATGGAACCTATGGGTTAGTCAGAAGAAAACGAAGTGAAAAGAATTAAATATTTGGAATGAGATGATTTTAAAATATGTTGTAAAGCGATACCATTTCAATTCAATTATTATTATTATACATGATATTGGAATCCGATCTTGTCATCTCCTTCCTATGTACAGACTATATCCAAGACACGAATATATATGCCAAGTTTCATCAAAAGTGATAAAGTTTTGCTTATAAGAAACTAAGAATTCGGTCATAGGAATAGGCGGACTTGGCTATGTAGACTTGCCTGGCGATGAATAAATTCATATATTCCAATACTGCCTACAGGAGAATACAAGCATAAAGACTACTCTTGATAACATATTCCGTTTACTCTTCTCCTGCAGCACCCAAGGGTCTGGTGGATACGAATCACGAGCTGCTCGCGCTCGGACTGTGCAACACATTTGGATCCTGTGTGCAGGCGATGCCCTCATCGGGCGCCTTTACGCGCTATGCGATCAGCACGGCCTGTGGCCTCAAGACGCCAATGGCCAACATGTATCTGGGTAGGTGCAGATGAGTTGGTGATTTGTTGGCAAAGAGTTCGACTTTGATGGAGTTTCATTCATGCAGGCATCATTGTGCTGTTGGCGCTGAGCTATCTGAGTCCCTTCTTCAATTATATACCGGAGGCGACATTGGCGGCGATTTTGATTTGCTCGATCATGACACTGCTGGACTTTAAGTTACCGATGCGACTGTGGGGCGAATCGAAACGGGACTTTGGCATCTGGGTGCTGTGCTTCTGTGTGTGTGTGCTGCTTGGCGTGGAGGTGGGTCTGTTTGTCAGCATCATTGTGACGGCGCTGCATCTGCTGTTCCTGTGGGCACGCCCGGAGATAGTGGTGAAGATACAGGAAATGGACGATATGCAGTATATTTCTGTGGTGCCCGGCAATGGCATCTATTTTCCGGCCATCAATCATCTACGAGGTCTGGTGCTGAAGGCCAGCACTCGGGCCGATTTCAAGATCACCGTCGTTATCGATGGCCACAAGATAACCGGTCTCGATTATACAGCGGCTCAGGGCATATCGAAGCTGTCGAAAGATTTGTGCCGCCAATCGGATGCGTCCAGCTCGACACTTTTGATACTCTACAGATTTCCAGCGCATTTGCAGAATCTGATCGACTTGACGGACAATTTGGTGTTCTGTGAGAACGAGGCCAGGGTGAAGGAGTTTCTAACACAAGAATCCCTACGCAACGGTTATATCAATCTAAAGGACCACATACGCGCTTCCATCGATCTGGGCTATAAGATTGATATCGATTAGTTGCAAATAATCCATTTTAGCACTAAATTTCACTTTATTATTTATTTAAATATATTTGCCGATGTTGTCTTTGCTCCAAAATCCAAATATAAATCCACCATAAATTGATAGTCGCGTTCTGTCGAAAACTCCGGAAAGCGAAACAGGAGTGCTAAAGTGGAGCAAATGCGCTGATGGCAGCAATTTATAAAAGCCAATCTGGCCTCTGACACTCTTATGCACTCCACTCACACACACACACACACTAACCCACACACACAATGCGGTCAGTGGAACGGTGGGTGGCATTGGGTTTAGAGAGTAGTGGCTTTGCCACTGCCGGCGCCGCCAATGATTGCCGAGCTAATGGATTTCTGTTTACTTTTTCACTTAGACCGCCGAGCGGCGGGCGCAGCTCTAAAAACGAACGTAGAAAAAAAACGAGACCTAGAAAAAAATGTAGCAAAAAGCGTAAAGAAATTAAAGAAAAGCGAAAGCACAACACTAACTCAACCTATTTAGTTTTTGAAAAACAAAAACTGGGAAAAACTGCAAGAAATTAAACTAAAATCCTGGCGTAAAGTGGATCAAACTAAGAAAAAAATGCTGGAGAACCAGAGGCAAATAAAAAGAGAGTGAGAGCGAGAGAACGAGAACAAGAACGAGACAGATAGAGGTAGAAACAAAGAGCGTCTAACGAAGCTTAAATGCCCTGGGCATGTTTTGATTGTTCTTAGCCGCTTTTTGGTTATTCCTAAAAAGATTTTTTTTAAGTGATTTCCAAATTAATTGGCATAATAGCTTGCATATAATTACAATAATAACATAACATTACTGTAATCAACCATATTCGATAGATGTATAACTAAATAAATAAAAAAAAAACCGGATATTTGAGAATTTAAAATCAATCCATACTCAAGCTTAACCTTATTAATATTAATTTTTTGTGTTAAATTAAATATATTATACAACAATTTACATCAAAGTAAGAATATCAGCTAACGACTGCAGGGCTTAATCAATAATAGCTTTTGATCTGCACAGATCGATTAGTTGGAGAATTACAGTTTTTTTTAATGCAATCAAAGTGTAAGAGAAATCATAAATGCTCTTTCTTCAAGAAGAGCAGACAAACCTCTGAACGAAAAATAAGTGCAAGCCGAGTTAATTACGTAGGGTTAAGCGCTGCCACTTGCCGGAGAACCCCAATGGGGAAACCCGGATAGAACAGGAGCTGAACGGGCTCCAAGTAGATTTCAAGCACTTGAGGCGCTGTAAATGAAATGCGGCGCTTCCAAAAGGCCTTCTTCCATTTCCCATTTTCTTTGCCATTTCTTGAGTTATTTTTTTTTTTTTTTTAGCTTTTGCATTTCGCTTTGCAATGTTGATTGCATTGGCAAACGAAGTGAGCAGATTTAATGAAATTTAAAACGCTGTCCAAAGTTGGCCAGCACAACCAAACCATCTACACCTACACCACCAACACCACCACCACCTCCACCACTGAATCACCATGCAACTGGCAGGTGGCGTTGCCCATGGAAATTGTGCAGCATTTGCTGGGTCCTGCCTTGTCCTGCTAATTATTTCAATGGTCTTTATTTGCTAAGCTGTTCAGCTGACTTGTCTTCAGACTTCTTGCCTGCCTGCTTGGCATTTTCTGCGTTATTGAGCTAATGAGCTTAATGCACCACTTACATTTCCAATTTGCATTGCAATTCCCCGTGATCGAAGCTGCAAATAGTCGTGAATAGCATTGCGGCTGATTGACACCATTTGACTATTTCCATCCAGAATCAAGTGAAGGCAATGGAATTATCTTCAGCTTAGCTTAATTGAACTCAAGCTTTATTTGAATAAAGCAACGCATACTTTGAATAAAATTTACTATAATTAATTTTAATTTACATATTTATATATATATATGAATGTGCTGACCGCGATAAAACCAAATATCATTTCAATTGCGGTCCACGCAATCAAAATCACAAAAATTATCGCAAAGCCGGAAAAGTGCATTGCATACTTTGTGGCTTTTGGCCACGTGTTGAGAACGCAAAAACAACATAAACCACATTTGGCCTGTTTGTGCCAAATATGCAATACTTTTTCATATTTCATGTTTTGTATACCTTGTTCCTAACTGAAAAAGTTGGTGACTTTAATTTCTCTGACTTTATCATTATAAATATGATGATAGATGCTCTATCTGAAATCTTTATAATCTAAGATAAGGTTTATTTGATGTGATTTCTTTTTATACTTTTGTATATAGTCAATTGACAAATTGATGGGCCCCCAACAATAACAACTAAAATTTCTTAAGACCATTTGCAAAGCATTCAGCTTTAGCCTTGCAAGCACAAACTTACGCATGATTTTAAACCAGCAAATAAATTGCATTGCAGTTAAGGATAACAAATAGGAGGGAGATTAGAGACACTTTAAAACAGAGTAACTTCCAGTCGAGCACATATGTGTGGAGCTAACCAAATTGTATGTATATTTGTTGGCCAACCTAATAATATTTATTTTCACATGCGGTTGGAAAACGTAAAAGCCATTTGGTTTCATTGCCCAGACTCGACGAGACCCCACCGCCACCGACTGCTCCTCTCGCCCATCGCAGTGTTAGCCGTTTGTTCACTTTTGTACAGCCTAACAAATTAAATTTTCATATGAATTACTGTGCCGGTCACGTAGCAAAGTGGGCAATGGAGACGGACACGAAGCATGTCCATGTCCATGTCCATGCCCATGTCCATGCCCATGTCCTTGGCCATGTCCATATCGGTGTCCATTGATACGTATTATGTGACTCTATACCCGGTATATATTACGTACAGGCCCCTCCATCCCCAAAACCAACAATTCCCCTGCCGCCAACTCACTGGCAACTTAATTGCGTCGCCTTTGAATGCGACAAAACGGCAAAAGACATAATTAATAGACGCATGTGCTGGGTAGTGTTGGGAGTGGGGCGGGGTCTGGTGGCAAGGGGTCTGTTTAGGTCCACTCATTTATTGATTTTTTGTTTGGCCATGGGGCTATTCAGGAGCAACAGCGATTGGCCTCTGGCCAAAAAACCGTTTCAATATGCGCCAAAATATAAACAAAGAGAAAGCGGCATTCACAGGGTAGGTGGAGTGATGGAGGAGTGTGGGGCGGGCCCGGGGTGTGTTCTATGTCTGTTTAAGGAGCAAAGGAGGCAATTGCGACGTCTATTTGCTTGTTTAAATTGTTTGAAAATGTCAATTTGATTGCGCTTAATTAAATGCCAAAAATCCTTAAGAACAACAAGCGCAGAAATAGAGCTCGTGAAGGGCGCGGTGAAGAAAAGATGAGGGGCGGTGGTTAAAAGTTTCATAATAAGCGCAATGAAAATAATTAACAATTTGTTGAAAATAACAAGCTCACAAGTACACAGCAAATGATGTCAATCGAGCCACACAACCAAAAAAACAAACAGACAGGCGGGGCAAAAAACTATGAGGGAGACTACGAGCACAAAGGATTTGAATGGAGTTGGCCCCCAGCTGAATTGTGAAACTCCTTGTCTCCGATTCACTTCTTTTTAGCAGGCAAACTGACATTAAGATGTCACGTTTCCAATGTCCTCTGTCTCGGTTTGTTAAATACTGCGAGAGCGGATCGAAGAAGGAAGCTCAACTGACAATCTTCAAAACTGCTTAAAGGGTTACGTCCTGCTTCCCCGTTAAGTTTTGCTAAATGGCTTGTTACTGGAGGCTATTTGCCATTGGGAGGGGTGTCTCTTTGTTCTGTTAGAGAAACATTTAATTTTAATTATAAATCAATTTGTTTGAGGCAATTACAATTGGGGTTTTGATTCCGTTGTTCATGCAAGAGTAAATGAATTGAACTTTCAAATAGAAATGTAGATATTTATTTTATGTGTAATGTAGTCGGTTAGTTAATCACTCCCGTCAGCTGTCAATTTAGAGCTCAAGTCTCTTTATAAAATTGTATATATTTGTCTATCCTTACAGCGGATATTATAAGATTGTTGTGAAGTTTGTAAGGCATTTCAAAAGAGGGTTTTCGGTATGCAATTAAATATTATGAATGATTGATGCTGTGTACATTTTAAAATTAGACTAACTTAAGTACCTACTGTCAAGTGGTCTGTGCTTAGTAGCATTTGAAAATATGTTATTTTATTTGTCAGTACTTTGAATTCAAATTGGTTATCAAATTATTTGCAACCAGACACTCAATGGTTTCTCAGCATAGGAATTGCAATTCAATGAAACAAACGAAGAAGGCGGACAAATCTTTTCTATTTACCAAATATGAATAAAATTCGTAAATATATATGATCATCGGCTTTAGCAACTAATAAATAAATTCCCTGAGCTGAATCAATTGGTTTCATGTTCAAGCATCATCAACATTTGAATGTAAGTCGCCGACTAGATGGCAACATCTGCCACATTAGGAGCTAGGCATATGAATTGCGAGCATGTACTTTGAGTACTTGAGGTAATTACGAATGCAGCAGCTTGAAATGATTGCACTTGCCTTTACTTTTGCCGTCCGTTGGCAATCGCATGAGTGTGGCCATAAACTTGCTGCCTTGCCACAGCTTAAAGTAACTGGCAATGTATCTTTAAGATACACATGTGTGCACACTGCTGGCACACTGCTGGCACACATGTGTGCTCTTCACTAACCGCACACTTTGAATCCAGTTTATGAGTTTTTATGGCTGCACGCAGCGGGCACAACTGGCGGTGCGGTATCTCTTTATGGCTGCATGCACTACCTTTTGTGGCATCAGCCACCAACCTACCCCGCCACCACCACTGCCCGCAGAAAAGTTACGCACAAAGCGCGTGCCCAATAAACGGTTGCCCACAGCTTGCATACCCTTTCTAATAGGGAATTATAATTGTCAGAGGCAGTATTAAAAATTAAATAGATATTACATAATTCATTTCATAGTTTTCTTGTAAGCCAGTTTATATACACTGATACTGAATTAGAGCAAAGACATTTACATTTACAAATACAACATTCTGCTTTTATTTGTGATTTAAGTTACAACTAACGAAAAGTTTATCAAAAATAAATTTGAACTTGCAACTGGAAATATCGATCGAAAAACTTCAGAAATAATAAGTAAATTTGCAAAATCCATATTTTCAAAACAATATATTTTCACAAATTTATGTCAAATTCGATTTAAAAATTGTATATGTTTCCTGCTCTCTACTTTTTGAACAATTTTGTTGAAAATATGATGGCTTCGCAGGGGAGGGCATTTAAGCAGCGGCGATTTTAAAGTCAGCTCTTCTTTCCTGTATTTTGCTCGGCTTCTTGGAGCGACTTAAAGTTAAAGCAGCATCCACAAAAGTTAAACGCACATCAAAAGCCAACTAATTTGGCTGTAAAAATAACATTAAATCACATTCATTTCTTTTTTTTCTTATTTTTTGGCAATAAACAAGAAGAAGAAGAAGTATTATAGGGAAACAAAATACACTTGCAATATCGAGCGCACACGTGTACAAAAGAGAGAGTTGGAGAGAGAGAGAGAGAGAGAGAGAGCGAGAGGGAGAGAGAGGAACTACCTTAGCTACCTTCGATTCCAGCCAGCAGCATCCCCCATACGACATTGGTCTTTAAGCTTATGTTGCACTTGACTGATTTTTATGCTTTGATGCTCAATGATTTTATTATTAAAAGCAACTGTCGTCGTAGTCGTGTGGGGTTGGCCTCCCTGCTTATTATATACAGCATACCCTTTAAAACTTGGACAGGCTATCGCGAAGTCCTAGATGACCCCAAAATGAGTTTGTATATGTTTAATTCGAAACGTAGTTTTGTGTATTATTAGTTTATTTATGTTCGATTGATCAGCCTGCTCATCTTGAAGACAACAATGTGGAATGAAAATTAATTAAAAATTAATACATTAAAATAATTATAATATTCAATTCAGTGGAGGAGAAGAAATAGAAGCATGGGAACATACAGGATATCTCCAAGTGGGGCACTCCTGACTTTGTTGATTTTTTTGCTGGTTGTCTGATATACGAAACCCCCGCGCTGCATGGCAATAACAAAAAAAAAAAAGAAGAAAAAAATACGGAAGTAGAGAAAAAGGGATACAAGAATAGCAACAGCAAAAAAGCTGCTGCATACTTTTTGGGTGGTTGCAAAATTGCTGCCGGCTGCTGCGGCTGTGGCAATGCCACTTCACCTTTGCTTTGTGCTGTGGATGCCACACTTGGGAGTCGCTTAGCTGTCTAAATATGTCACTTGAATTTGACGACGGCCACTTGCGCAAAGCTACCAAACCCTCTCCCCATCACACACGACGAGCAAAACTGTTGCCTGTCTTTTATTTATATATATTTTTTTTGTTTGGGCACACGCATTCACATATGCGAGTTGTTATAAACACCCACCCACTCCATCCACCCACTCCATCCACCCCTCTATCCACTGCCGGCCGTGTCTTGTTTTCTTAAAATATTAGTTTCCTTTGCGCTCGCTGTTTTTCTGACTTTTTCCCTATGCGTGGGGAGCAAAAATTGTTTCACTGCTTTTTATTGTCATCTTTGTTATTTCCCCCACCACCAGCCCGAGCGTGTGTGAGAGTGTGTGTGTGTGTGCCACCTATTTTTTCTTATTCTACTTGTTTTTTTTTGGTTTTTTTTTTGTCTGTCTGTATTTGTGTCTGGTGTTTGCTTTGACTCAGTTACATCTAGCAACGAGGACGGCCAAGAGCAAGTTGTCATGAATAATGAAAAAGCAACGTGAATACATTTCTTCAAGCCCCTGAGTTGCTGCTATTGTGTTAGTGTGTGTGTGTGTGTGTGTGTGTGTGAAAATGTGAAATAGGTATGCTGCATGTGGCTGTAGGGAGGGGCAAGTACACGATAGAAAAACTTTCGAGTAATGCGAAATACACGCAATAGTTTATTTACTTTTCGCATTGTTTGGCTGTTTACCCAATATAAACAAATTAACTTATACATATTTAATTTCATTTAGAATAAATAAACGAAATAATTTTTTATGTTAGCAAGTTGATAGAATGTGAAAATTCATTTCTACTGAAAAAATTGAGTCTATATATATAATGAGTCTAAATATATAATGTATACAATATAATATTGGTTTATTATATTTACATATTGTTTTATTTTTCAAATACATATTTTTTGCATCAGATATGAAATGAGATATTTACAAAAATCAAGAAAAATGCTTATATCAAATAACATATTAAATAAAATATAAAGATTTAAATTATAATTTTTTCCATTTTAATATCAATTGAATGTTGAATTGTATTTCTCCCATTCAATCAATAAATTTCTCAGTTGAGTCACATTGTAAGCTAAGAAGCAACTACAATACTTATTGCAGTGTATGGCCAAACCGCAGTTCTTGGAACGAAATACTAAAGTCAATTGCTAATTCAGTCACAGTGACTGTGACTGTAATAGTAACGGTAACAGTAACGGAGACAGACGCGTTGCTTTGACTGTTTGCTGTCTGTCTGTCTGCCTGCCTGTCCAGTCATCGTCGCAATCACTTCCCTCGTTGACTATCCGATACCTGGGCATATATGGGACACTGTGAGTGAGAGAGAGAGAGAGAGAGAGAGAGGGCGAAGTTTGCTTTTCTCTTCCAAATAGATTTGCCTTATTTACCGTTCATTGCTCGCAGGCGTGCTCATAGTTTTTGCCCTGTCTTAAGTTGTGCTTTCTGCTTGAGTGTTTGTGTTCTTGTGTCCTTTGCCCTAAGCTAGTCCCAGCGAGGCACACAAGCACCCTCTCCCTCCCCTCATCCACGATTTGGCCACGCACAAGAAAAGCCCTTCGCTTGGATTTTCTTGTTGTTGTTTGCATTTCAAATTCGTTGCGCACTCGATGAGAAAATCGAAATCAACAAAGCAAATAAACATTTAATAAAGCACAAAAGTGTCAATAGATTTCTGGTCAGTCAACTTGAGGCGAGCCAAGACGGGAGAGGGTGCAAGCAACTGGTATGCTAATTAAAACGGGATTGCCACAACTTTAAATGAGCTGCCCGTCCACAAAATGACAGCGTCAGTGTCAAGTGATGTTGTTCAACGACCGTCTATTGAAAAACTTGGCGCTCAGCTCAGCTCCGCTCAATTTCTGGCGAATTGTGAAAAACACAACACAACACAACTTTTCCCCAAGAATCTTAAGTTGCCAAGTTTAGTGCAATTTTGGCTAATCCAAAATGAGTACCGAATGCGCCCAACAATAAATACCTCCAGTCGTCTCGACAAGTCAATACCCTATCAATAAATGTACAGTCTTTAATAAAAATATCATTTAGTATATAATGAATATTAATTGCTTTAGGTTTTATGTGTCAAACAGAGTCTTTTTGTGATTCTGGATAACTTTGAAATTGTTTTCAATATGTGATATGAGCAATTTTGGAATTATGCTATTTTAAACATCAAAACTATAAGATACATTTGATAGTTTAAATCGAAAACTATAACATTAAAGAAAATAGAATAAATATTTTCCGTCCTTTGCACGAAAATTAAATTTACAGTCACTATTATAAATAGACTTTCGGGAATATATTTGAGCTCGATCGAATAGAGTTGAACAGTTTTCCAATCTACAGAAGAGAATTTCCCGAAATCCTATCTTACAGCTTATAAGTTACGTCCTAAAAAGAAACTGCTGTAGAAATTACTGCATTCGACCTGACTTAATTTGGCTAAAATCTTGTATATATTTTGGCAAGACATATTAATAAATTGCTATGTCATAGACACGGAATTGCTTACAGTTTCTGGATTCGATATCCTTGTCATGCCGAAGCTGACACATAACTTGAGGGCCATAGCTTCTATGGTTTAGACTGTTGACTTATAGTGTTCCCCCGTAAAAAACCATTTGGTAAGTACAGGGTATGAATAGAAGAGATGCTGAGAAACAAGAAAATAAAAAATAAAACTAAAAGTACATATTACAACAAAGGCAAGACTGAACGCAACTCCCAAATGTCAACCAAGCGGTTGGTTTGGTTCTTGGCCTGGCTGTTTAAACCGCAATACAGATAAGGAGCAAATTACTTTTTTGGCCAAGACGTTGCCGAGATGCGAACCCACGAACCGCAAGCTGAAAACTAACAGCGCCGGACAACTTACAAGCAGCCTTGGGGACAGGATGGGTTGAGAAACCAACCAACTGGACTGAAAATGCGATGCTAAAATATAGTTTAAATGCGTGTTGAAAATGGGTTTATGGTGATCCTCTGGAGAAAACCTCTGGGGGCCAACATGGGTGGGTATTTGTAAACAGAGATCAACCATAGCCTGATTTATGAAGATGTTTGTTGACACTGGCTTACTGCTATAAAGTTTCAGTTTGAGCTGGAGTATTTCCCAAAGGACCTTTCGGCCCCGGAGTTCAGCGCATAAAAGTAAGCGTAAAAATGGTCAAGAAGCTGGCAAGAAGTTCATAGACTTATGTTTTGTTAAGTTTATTACAGTTTAAAATGAGACAAATGTGAGAAGCGGATAATTACACAATTCTTGCTATACTATGCTAATATATATTCACATAATATAGGAAAATAACTTTGCCAAAACTATTACAAGTTTTCAAATGCAATGCCTTTCTGATCATTCAATCGAGCTCAAATAAATACTAAAAGAAATTCGATTTACGTAATGTGCGATGAGGTTGTCATCAACCAATTGCCAGCTGGATTTCCATTTCATTAAAATGCTTTTCGACATTGAGAAGAAGATATCAAGTAAAATGAACAGAAGTGAAAAACTTTAGTCTTTCGTCATTACTTGCTTAGTTTTTCTTTTAACTCAAAAAATACTTCTTTTTTTTAATTGATCAAACAGCCATAAACAACTGAAGCTTGCCAAAGCTCTTTACTAAAGACAAACTCATCCGAAAAATATATATCAACGAAAAATAAATAGAAAAAAAACTATAAGCTAGTATCAGCAATTGAATAGTCTCTCAAATAATCTATTTATGTCTATATAGAACCATAGCACAAACATTTTTATTGAACATATTTTAAAATAGTATTCAACTTTCACTGATCACAGATGCTCCTCCTGTCCGAACTCAGCCCAATGCTCCTTCATCAAAAACCCCTCCACCCACAAACTATCTTACATGTATGCATAAATAAAAAATAAAATAAAGTAAATAAAATAAAATATGAAATATTAAATTGTAAGTACGTAAATAAGGTATATTTGTAAATTAAAGCAAATAAATTGATGGATAAATATTAAAACTATGATTCAAATATATACATACGACAAACAAAAAAAGCCTGAAATGTTTACATCAAATCAAAACATTTATTTATTTATATATATAATGCTAGCAATGAATATTGATATATTCGATTTGATGTATACATTTCATTTCTTTTCTGTTTGTCACAAAGCAATCAGTGAACCCGTTGTTCACAAAATTAGCAGGCTTGTATTCAAAGGACCAAAAGGAACAGTAAGTAATATTGAAATGGGCTTGGACGCGCATTCGTTCTGATTGTAAAGCAGCCAGTTTATTCCCACAAGTTCTCACAAGTACACAAGGTAGCTATGTATTTCCAGTTGGGGCACACGCTCAACCGCAGGACTGTGTTAAAAGTGCCAGTTGCTGGCTTACCATTTTTGCCACACCTATAAAATGCCGCAATGTTGCAGCACGCAAAATCCGATAGCAAGGATGAGCCTCATCTGATTGCAAAAAGCGCCAAGCACAGCCAACAACAGCAACAACAAAAACATCAACACTAACAAAAAAAAAAAAAAATAACAACTAAAACCAGAACAACGATGACTAGCACCAGAGTCTGGGGAATGACAACCAGAACAATGTTGAGGCATGCGACAAACTTTGACTGTGCCACCAAATTGCATACCAACAGGCATTGGTTGTAGTTGCAACGTTGCAACCACAAAAATAAGTGTTTACAGCATTGATTACAAGCGTGGGCGTTGCTGTTGATTAGAGTTTAGCCCACAAGGATTTTTGCATTTCTTAGATGCAATGCCAATAGATTGTTGCAGTCAGTGTGACCAGAGCCATGCAGCATGTCAGTAGTGTAGTAGTGTCAAGGGAAATGCTGTAAGCCGGATGGCCTCCAGGCCAAAGCCACTACCGCTCTGGCGGTAGTTGGGGTGGAGGCATGCCGCGTGGCATGCCAGCTCTGGGCTTAGGTGTCGACTCGGCGGCCGCACACAATTGACAAACTATGTAAACCTTTTCTGTGGCACTTCCGTTACGTTTGTTTGCCACTTTACAATGTAACGACAACAAGCCATACCATCACCGTCAACCCCTAACCGCTGCCCATCCCCCACTCCGGCCAGGCGAATTGTGAGAAAAGTTTGTAACCCGAGCATTGGAACTGCATTTCATTATGAAGTAGAACTGCCAGGCTTGGCCAAAGCAAATGCAAATGCTGTTGGCGTCATATTGAAAACTCTGTGGTAGCCAGCCAAATACATCCACCAACACACACAGACACTTGCTACCCTCACACTCGGGACCAAACCGCAGTGTCAGTCTTTTGTGGTAGCTGCATTGGGACAGCGTTCTCCAAACGAAGCATATAAGTGGCCCTTATCGTGGCTAGCATTGCAGTTGATGGGGCAAATGAAGAGGGGGAGGTGAACACTGGTAGTCCTGGTTAAGCAAAGCGGGCATCGAGTTCTGCTCTCTGCTTGTGCTATTATTGCCGAGCATTGGGTACCGAGTAACGAGTACCAAGCATATTGTATTGGCAAATATTCCCATGACAATTGGAATTTTTATTGAATTTATGCAAAAATTGCAAATTTCATTTGCCACATACAGTTGTTTAAGTTGTTTTTATTTGGCTTGTTTTTTGTATGCCCGTCAGCCATTAAAAATGGCTAAAAAAAAAAGAAGAAAAGTAGTATGAAGTTGTGGAAATGTTTGCAACAGACAAGGCGTTTATAAATATATACTCTTGATCAGCATCAAAAGTCCTAAGGACCTAAAGGGAATTTGATTTTTATATTCTTTTTGCAGAACTTCTTCTAGAAGGCAACGTTCGAACAGCAAAATATCTACTGGCTTACTTAAATATAAAATTAGAAAATTCTCGAACACAGCTGAGAGACAACAGCAACAAGTTTCTGTTAAGAATGTTAATGAAGATGTTATTATTACATATATACATATATAAATGTCAGACATCTGTACGCATTTTTAGAAGAAAATAATCAACATATTTGGCCTCAGCTCTGTTCAGTCTGCGAGCATTGTCGATGCACTCCTCGAAGCCACTCTCGTTGCAGCGAGTTCAGTCTCACATGATCTAAATCAATTAGAGCGCGCTTCCATTCACGTTGCCTATAAGTAGTTCAACCCAGTTAGAATAAACTACATAAACTTGGATAAACTACAAAAGAACTAAGGCAGAGAGAGTTACATACAAACTTGATGAAGCACAGACTGCGATTTACATAGAGAACTGGTGAATCAGAGACTATGTGAGACTATGAGTGGTGAACAAGCCAACCACAACCACAATTTGTGAATAGTAAAATGAAGTTAGCTGCTGTAGTTGTTTTCTCATGGTTAATATCGTTCTGACGCACAAGTGTTATTGCTTCAGGACTCATCATTTTCCAAAGAAAACTTGCTCTTATTGCGTAAGTTCTGGCAACGTTTCATAACCAGGAAATGAAGAACCGTAACCCCCGCACTGTAGTTTTATCAATGAAAGCTATATGTTATGGTCTAGTTTTATTTTGGGACACGTTAATTCATCAATTGTGTTTTTGATGCCCATCAAGAAATTAATCACTTTCACTAGTTTGCTGCCCTTGTGCAATTCAGATAGGAACTGAGTGTTTTATTAAAAAGTTCTCCTCGTTAATATTGTTTTTTGAGAATTGTTCGAGTTAAAATCGTTCGTTTTATTCAATTTGAAGTACACCATTTGATTGGTGCTGTGGTCATCTATTGTTGCACAGCCAACTTAGCTAATCTAGTGAACAGTAATAATCATTTGCTGCAGCTGTTTAATGTGGCTGCATGCAACTTGCCCCCATATTTTCACTCTGCCCACTGTGCACAGCGTGTCTGGGTGGCTGGCAGCAAATTAGCCTTGGTTGGGAATCCCCGACAAGCAGATGGCTCGTTAGCCAGCATGTGGTTTTTAGGATTAACTCAATTAAAATTTTGTGGCATTAAAAATATCTTGCGAAAGCGAGCGACGGAACACAATGTGGGGACATACTGCGAGAGATAAAGATAAAGAAAAAGAGAGAGAGAGACAGAAAGAGAGAGAGTGTATATAAAAAATTACGAAAGTCACATATATTTGGTCCCCTGCCTTCGGTGATTCTTGCACATCTTTATTTGCGCCTGAAATTATTTAATTGAGTTTGTTGGAAAATTTCTTTTAAATTAAGAAAGTTTTTACACGTGACTCTTCTGCTTTTTTGGGGGCATGATACACGGGCCAGCACGTGCTGCAGTTGCCAAAGTTTGTGTCTTTTCTTTTTGTGTGTGTGTGCGTCGCTCACAACGCAGGACATTCAAAAAGGGGGAATAATCATAGAACAATTTGAAATATGCCAACGGGTACAATGACAACTAATCATGATAACTAAAATTGAAAGAATAAGCAGATTAACAATTGAGTCAATCGTGTCGCGTTGAGGATTGGATTGTGCCAAACCGCTGAAAGCATGCAAATAAAGAGTTCATTTAAAAAGCAACAACGACTTTCTATATAAATCACAACCTCATTATTTATCTAGTAGCTAATGAGTCTTTTCGATTATGGCAGCTAAATGATATGGTGTTCGAGTCCATGCGATTCTGATAAAAGAAAGACTTTAAAACACAGAAACCCCGGGAAACCTAGGAGCATACATAATTATATTAAGCTTATTTTACTCCATAGGTTCAAAGATTTTTCCGTCTTTTCTTTATTTTCTCCATCAGTATTTATTGTACCTTCACTTTGTCTTCTTACCATTATGGTTTCCTAAATAGCTACTAACGCTTGACAAATTTTTTATCTCAGTGATTTTTTCTGAGTTTCCTAAATTCTTGCAACAAATATTTATTATATCTCTTATTTTAATTATTATTATTTTTTGTAATTTTTAATTGGATTACTCCCCGTTAAATGTATACTATTTAATGTGTAACTTTATAAATTTAAATTGGGACTGTTTTTAGTTTACATTAAATATATAAATATTGTATTAGTTAATGATTTCAATAATAATTTCTTAATCGATTTCTTTTTTCTTTATGGCATTTATTTTGTGACCATCGTTAATACTGATTGCGATTATGTATTAATGTTGCCCCACTTCTGGCAACGCGTTGGCTCATTAATATTTGTTAGCAGTCGCTGCCAGTAGATCCGGCACTCTGCGTGTTATGGGGCGCACTCTGCGGCATGCAACATGTCGCTGCAAATGGCCGTGTTGGATGCTTGTGCGAACAGTGCGCAATGCCAGGCGTTGATGCCATCACGCCAACATTGATGACTGCGTTGACAAGTTGCCCCAGCACCAAGTCTCCAGAGAAATGTGTCAAGCGAGGCAACTTGAGCTGCATAAGCAAGCAGCTTACGCGTGTCTGCCACGCGAATGGGGGCATACT